CAAATCCAAAAGAATGAAAAATTAGAAAACAATGTAAAATATCTCACTGGAAAAACAATTGACCTGGAAAACAGATCCAGGAGAGAGAATTTAAAAATTATTGGACTATCTGAAAGCCATGATCAAAAAAAGAGCCTAGACATCATCTTTCAAGGAATTATCAAAGAAAACTGCCCTGATATTTTAGAAGCAGAGGGCAAAATAGAAATTGAAAGAATCCACCAATCTCCTCCTGAAAGAGATCCCCAAAGGAAAACTCCTAGGAATATTGTAGCCAAATTCCAGAGTCCCCAGGTCAAGGAGAAAATATTACAAGCAGCCAGAAAGAAACAATTCAAGTATTGTGGAAACACAATCAGGGTAACACAAGATTTAGCTGCTTCTACATTAAGGGACCGCAGGGCATGGAATATAATATTCTGGAGGGCAAAGGAGATAAGATTACAACCAAGAATCACCCAGCAAAACTGAGTATAATTCTTCAGGGGAAAAAATGGTCATTCAGTGAAATAGAGGACTTTCAAGCATTCTTGATGAAAAGACCAGAGCTGAATAGAAAATTTGACTTTCCAATACAAGACTCAAGTGGAACATGAAGAGGTAAACAGGAAAGAGAAATCATAAGAGACTCATTAAGGTTGAACTGTTTACATTCCTGTGTGGAAAGATGATATTTGTAACTCATGAGACTTTTGTCAGTATTAGGGTAGTTGGAGGGAAAATTATATGTATGTATATATATAGATAGATAGATAGATAGATGATAGATAGATAGATAGATAGATAGATAGATAGATAGATAGATAGATAGATAGATAGATAGATAGAGGGCACAGGGCGAGTTGAAAATGAAGGGGCCGTATCTGGAGAATAAAATTAAGGGGTGAGAGAGGATTATACTAGGAGAAGGAGAAAGGGAGAGATAGAATGGGGTAAATTATCTCACAAAAAAAAACCAGAAAAGAAAAGGCTCTTACAGTGGAGGAGAACCAGGGGAAGGTGAGAGGAAATGAGTGAATCTTATTCTCATAGGATTTGACTTAAGGAGGGTATAACATACACACTCAGTTGGGTATGGAAATCTGTCTTACCCTACAGGAAAATAGGAGGGGAAGGGGACAAGAGAGTAAGGGGATGATAGAGAGGAAGGCAGAATGGGAAAGGGGGTAATCAGAAGCAAATGCTTCTGAGGAAGGACAGGGTCAAAAGAAAGAATAGAATAAATAGGGGGGAGGATAGGATTAAGGGAAATGGAGTTAGTTTTTCTCAGTATGTCTACTATGGAAGTGTTTTGCATAACTGCACATGTATAGCCTATGTTGAGTTGCTTGCCTTTTCAATGAGGGTGGGTGGAGAGGGAGGAAGGGAGAAAATTTGGAACCCAAAGTTTAAAAAACACATGTTTAAAAAAAAAAAACTTTTTCCCATGCAACTGGGAAATAAGAAATACAGGAAATGGGGTACAGAAATCTATCCTGTCCTACAGGAAAATAGAAGGGGAAGGGGGGGGAGAGATAGCAGGGAAATCAGACTAGGGGAAGGGGTATTCAGAATGCATGCCATCTTGGGGTGGGGGAGGGGCGAGATGGGGTGAAAATTTTGAACTCAAAATCTTGTGGAAGTAAATGTCGAAAACTAAAAATAAAAAAAAATTAAAAAACAACAAATCATTCCATTTTCTCAGGCTGTCCCCCATATCTAGAATGCTCTCCCTCACCTAGTGGATTCCCTGGCTTCCTTGAAGTCCCAACTAAAAATCATATCTTTGAAAGGAAGCCTTTCTATCCGAAAGTTAGCTGTCAGTTAAGTCTTAAAGTCAAGCATCTCATAGGTCAGTGATTACTAGATAAAAGAGTCAATTTGGAACTGACTTTTTACCTTTCATCTGGAAACCAGGACAACATCCAACTAGTCCTTTCCAACATCATGTTTTACCCATTTGTCAACATGGATCATCTTGCCGTCATAAAGTATTCTTGTAGAATTCATTAAGGCAACATCAGTCATTTAGGTGAATGACTGGGGGTTGGCCTTGGACAGTGGGAAAAAGTAGAAGACAAAGGACATTGTGAAGTGAGAATATTTGGGAGAAACTGCCTGACTGACCAAATTGAATATGCAAATGTGACAAACACTGTAATAAAAGCATAAGCTAAATGAAAAAAAAATAAAAATAAAAGGCCAAAAGAACTAGATGGGATTCCTTTCATATAGTGAGCCAAGCAAATTCACATGATACTAAATGATTAGGTAGCATTTCCTAGGATGGTAGGATGCTGCTGAGGCCTTTTACCTTAAGAGGCTCCAAAGAGGATAGATACTTTACTGAGGTGCCTGGTGATATTGTTAAATGAGAAAGGATATGGAGCGGGAACAAGTGGGTTTTTAAATTCACACTTATTACTGATTTGTTATGTGACCTTCAGCAAGTAATTTAATTTCTTTGGGTCTCAGCTTCCTCATCTATGAGATGAGGGGATGGAGCCCTGGACTTGACCAGTAACATATTTTCAAGCCTTATATCCTAGGATCAATGGATGTGGTTTGTTGAGGTCACGCCAACCTCAAGGGGGGGAGAAACATTGGCCAAGCCAAATGGTTCAGCATAGATGACCTAGAATATACTTCTATGGATCTCTTTAAAGTTAGAGGAACTTCAGGTAGCATTGGACAAAAGGCTTGTGTGGTTTCACATCTGGGCATGGAGTCAACAGGAGGTGTGAAAGGGATGTTAAAGGCACTGAGTTTTGTCACAAATCATAGGACAGAGGCCTTCAGTCTCCAGGAGGTTTTCCTCCAGAGATAAAGGTCAAACTTCATTTGGCAAAAAAACGGAAGAAGGCTGGTGCTCTGTCTGCCCAACAAATCATGTCTCTGGCAGTCTGCCCCTCTGGCCATTGGACAAAGCGGCAGCAGAGGGGCCCAGATCCTGGCTTCCTAGGAAGCTTCATCAAGCAGGTGACAGTTGAAATTAGCATCAGAACACCTTGACGAAAGAAATAAGAAAATACAGAGTTGAATCCCCTGTGGAAAATAGATTATTCACTGTCACACTGAACAATAGAACAAGATATAAATAGCAGTCAGGAGAGGATGGGTTAGCCATGACAGAACCAGGGGAGCTAAAACAGCTATCTGAGTGCTGAGCTCTTGGGAACTAGGAAAGAAGCAAATGGGAGACAGGGTTGAGAACAATGTAAGCATTAAGGGAAACTTTAAAGGTAGACTAATGGAAGGAGAGGAAGGGAGGGATGATAGTGGTAAGACCATTTCCTTCTGCCTTAAAATAGTTCCATATACTCTCAACATCTGAAGTCATCTAATATTCTTACTTTGATCTAAGAGGAACTACAGATGAAAACTACTCCAAACTGGGACTCTTGTTCTAGGGCAGGATAAAATGGCATCCTCTGAAATTTCATGGATGGTCCAAAGGAACCGTCCCTATAGCTGAGACAAGGTCTATAACAGAAAAGCAGATCAGCTTAGCTAAGAGAAAAAGAAGGTCTAAAATTGCTTGCTAGTACCTGAAGTATGAAGTACTTCAGGAAAGAGTAGGAACCATTCATTTCCTTTGATTGGTTTAAGGGCATGGCTGCATTATAAGTTCTTCAGATTCTATATGAGAGAAAATAAGTGGACGGTTCACAACATATGGGGTCATAGTAGAGTAGGTGAATGAACATGGGATCTTAGACCAAGAACTGGATCATAGGGCATCAGATCTCAAGAACGGTGAGGAAGAAGAGAGCCAAAAGGAAAAGAGAGTGGAAAATTGTAAAAGAGAAATATTTACTACCATTAATTAGGAATTCCAATTGTATTAAGTTAACCGTTTTCTCTAGTTCTTCAAAAGATGGGGCTCACAAAAAAGATCAGTGGTGTATTAGAAAAAGAACAGCGTTTGGAATAAAAGCTCCTAGATACTTGGGCAAGTCACTTCACTTCTGTGGGACTCAGTTTCCTCACCTGTAAAATGGAGAGGTTGGACTAGAGGACCTTTTAGATCTTCCTCGCCCTAAATCAATGGTTCTAGGAACTGATGGGAAAAAAATCTAGTTTCTTTTTTGTAACATGGTGAAATGTACAGAGAGCTAGCCCTGAATCCTGTAAGCAAGTCATTTAAATTTTAGTAATATAAGAAACTCTCAAAGACAATAAGTTACAGAGAAAGTAATGATCTGCACTGGCTGAGGGAATTCCCACCCGAGAGTATTCCTTATTCTGGTGAAATCATAGGTCCAGTTCATATACTTATCCCTATCCCTATTTCTTCTTTTAAATGCTGGTCATTCCTCAGGCCAAGAATGGTTTCCCAGGCAGCTCAAATGGCTCCCAGTAAATGTTTTTGCATTTTGCCTCTTGTCTTTGGGTTAATGGTAACCAGGGTAAGACTGATTTTAGGCTGTCAGAACATATTAAAAAAAAAACAAAAACAAAAACAAACAAAAAACCTCACTCCCCTGAGAGCCAAATGAGCTTTTTTAGAACAGGAAGTCTGCCTTTAACAAATCCTCTATTTCGGAAGACTAAATGATACTTTGTCATTGTTGTTGTTGTTGTTCAGTTATGTCCAACATGAACCCACGGACTTTGTCCATGGGATACTGTTGGCAAAAATACTGAAGTGGTTTGCCATTTCCTTTGTTTCCTATGTTCCCATTTTGCAGATGAGGAATTGAGACAAACAGGGGTTAAGTGACTTTGCCCAGGGTCACACAGCTAATGTCTGAGGTCAATACTGAATTCAGATCTTCCTGACTCCAGGCCCAGTGCTCTATCCGCTGCACCACCTAGTTGCCCCATTGATACTTTAGAAAAATATATTGACCTTTTCCTCTGTGTCCACTTTGAGCAATGAAGCTTGCTCTCTGTTCTTAGTCTAATAGAGAATCAAATTATTAGAGGGAACCTTAAATGGATGAGAGTAAGGACAAATTGGGTAGGTTCACAAAAGCCTCAAATGAGAATGATTTAAGACATGCGATTTTTCACTTTACCTTGGTGAAAGTTAAACAGTCCTTGTCCTGATCTTTATCCTTTATCTCAAAGTCATAAAGTGCTTTGCCCTGGGGTGGGGCTTGTGGTAAGGGCTTGATGCACTGAATATAGCTGGCAGGGAAGAAGCCATGGTTTCCATTCAGCTCCCCATGGTACCAGTTCTCATCCACCTTTCGACGAAGGATGATGATGTCTCCCTTGTTAAACTTGAGATCACCAGGTTCTTTCCCCTCATAGCTATAGAGGGCTTTGCCACAAGGAAGTTGGGAAATATTCTAAAACCAAAAGAAAGCAAACAGTGAATTATTAGGACCCCTCATGGTAACTTGTCGTAATAGCACAGAATGTGAGAGGTTGGCTGCAGAAAGACATAGTGTTCTAAAGCTCTTAAGTGCTCAGATGAAGAAGCAGCATGGTGTGGCCAACACAGAACAAGATTTGGAGTTCAAAGACTTTGCTTCAAATTCTTCCTCTGCTGCTTATTATCTTTGTAATCTTGTGGGGGTTGGGCATCAGTTTCCTTATCTTTAAAATAAGAGGGGTGGACTACAAGATTAGAGAAAACAGATTTAGAACTAGAAGGGGAGGGTAGGAAACAAGCATCTATTGGCAATCTCATCAGCTCCTATGGATTTAATTACCATCTCTACATTAACAGTCCTCAAATCTACTTATCCTGCCCCAAACTCTCTACTGATCTCCAATCTTGAATCTCCAACTGCCTTTCAGACATCTCAATCTGGATGTCCAGTAGACAAACTAAATTCAACCTGTCCAAAACAGAGCTCATTATCTTTCACTCTTAACCCTCCTTGCTCATACCTTCCCTATTACTGTAGAGGGTACCACCATCCTCCTAGTCCCTTAGGCTCACAATCTAGGAGTCATTTTCAACTCCTATCTCCCCCTCCCCTTACCCAATCTGTTGCCAAGGCCAGTACACTTTACCTCTCTAACATCCCTCCAAAATACACATACGCGTGCGCACACACACACACACACACACACACACACACACAAAACCCTCTCTCTCTACTAACCCTGCTACCAGTCTGTTGAAGGACTTCATCACTTCACCAGATTATTGCAATAGGCTGCTAGTGGGTAGGCCTACCTCAAGTATCTTCCCACTCTAATTCATTCTCCATTATCCACTAAAGTGATTTTTCTAAAGTTCAGGTTTAACCTTGCCACCCAATTACTTAATAAATTCCAGTGGATCTCTAGCAGCAACAGGATCAAATCCAAAATGATCTGTCTAGCATTTAAAATCCTTCATGATCTAGAATGATTGTACCTTTCCAGGCTTCTTACATCTTTACCTCATATACTCTTCAATCCACTGGCCTCCTGGCTTTTCCATAAACAAGACACTCCATCTTTCTGCTCTGGGAATTTTCTCTGGCTGTCTCCCATGCCTGGAAGGCTCTCCTTACTCATCTCCACCCAATGGCTTCCTTGGCTTCTTTTAAGTCCGAACTAAAACCCCATCTTCTACCAAAAGTCTTTCCAAACTCTACCCTCTTAATTCTAATGCCTTTCCTCTGTTAATTATTTCCTATTCATCCTTCATATAGCTCATTTGTCTGTTGTGTTCCCCACTAGATTATAAACTCCTTGAGGGCAGGGACTATCATTTGCCTCTTTTTGTATCCCCAAAGTTTAGCACAGAGCCAGGCACATAGTAGGTGCTTAATAAATGTTTATTGATTGATCTACTATGTGCCAGTCACTCTTTTAAGTACTTTATAAATATTATCTCATTTGATCCTCACAATAATATTATAATGCTGGTGTCATTATTTTCCCCATCTTACAGTTGAGAAAATGGTAGCATACAGAGAATAAGCAACAGAGGTCACAGAGCTAGTAAGCAACTGAGGCTAGATTTGAACTCAAGTCTTCATGATTCCAGACCCAACATTCTATCCACTGTGTCACCTAGCTGCCTCCCTAGAGGGGAGGCTTAGGGATCACCTAATACTAATATTACATCCCTATTAGTAAAACATTTTGGGTATGCAACCCGAATTTGTGAAAATTTACTCACTTATAAATATAAATATATATAATACTGTATTAATAATTATGTACATTATAAAACAACCAAAAAAGTTTAAAAAGACAAGATAGGGATGAAACAATTTGATCCGAGAGTCAATATTGAGCCCCTAGAGTTTATTAAGTAGGAAGGAGATGGTGACATGGTCAGATCTGCACTTTAGGAAAGCCACTTTGGCTGATGGGTGGAAGATGGATTGCTCTGGGGAGACACTTGAGGCTGGGAGACCAATTAGAAGATTATTGCAATAGTCCAAGTGACAGGTGATGAGGGCCTGTACTAGATGTAGCAGTGTGAGGAGAGAGGACAGGGCAGATGTGGAGATAAAATTGGGGAGTTTTGGCAATTGATGACCTCATAATTTGCACATGTGGATGTACACTAGGGAAAAGTGAGAAGTCCATTATGACAATGAAGATGTGGAAACAGGGAAGGATGGCAGCACCCTCAATAGTCATAGCGAACTTTGGAAGTGGGGTTTTGTTTTTGGTTTTTTTTTTTTTTTTGGCTAGGCAATGGGGTTAAGTGACTTGCCCAGGGTCACACAGCTAAGTGAGTGTTATGTGTCTGAGGCCAGATTTGAACTCAGGTCCTCCTGAATCCAGGGCTGGTGCTCTATCCACTGTGCCACCTTGTATTCCTTGTTGTCCCTTGTTTTTTTTTTGTTTGTTTGTTTTGGAAGTGGGTACTTTTGAAGGAAAAGATGATATACTGCCTGTGATCCAGAATATCATTTTTCCTTGTCTGCTTATCCTATGTGATTTATTGACAAACAAAATGAAAACTGGGAGGTCAGGGCTCTAAGTGGCCAATCCCTAAGTTACAACTCTGAGTGGCTCCTACCAAGGGCCTGGGGTGACCTAAGGGCTAGGGTAGGGAAAGGGATCATTTTTTTCCCCCAGTGGTACTAACTATTATGGTGAGTAGTGGGTAGTTCAGTTTATAACAGCCCCTAAGGGCTAACACCAGGAATAGAAGGGGCAAGGTAGAGAGCTTGTCCTGAAGAGGGGAGTGAGGAGAGCCAGAGATGATGGAATTTGCCCTGTCTTTCCACCCTCTGATTGATCTATCACCTGTGCCTTAGGATCAGACCACCTCGTCCACTGGAATAATGCCACCTTCCCCCCAAGGGGAGTGGAGACAACTGATCTAATCCATTTCTCTTGGCGTCAGTTTCTCATCTGTGTGTAGCCCAAGGATAGCGTGACCCTCACTCTTGCTTCTGGCTTCCTAATTGTAGATTTATATACCTCCTGGTGTTTCAAATCAGACCCCCCAGGAGGTCAGTGACTCATCTTTACCTTATCAGGCAAAATTCACAAAATCCACCTTTCTATTACAGCCAACATTTCTTAATCTTCCCAAAGTCTTCAAACAATTAACTGATTTAATAAAAACCATCACATAAAACAAGATGAGGCACCAAAATGCCCTGCAGCTCCAGTCATTTCTCGGCCTTTGAAAAGGCCCTCTTAGTACATTTATGTGAGGCGCACTTCTCTGTCTGGTTCACCTACCCTGTGTCTCAACATTTCCTCTGAAAAATGGTTTCTTTACATGTGGATTTCACCAATTTTCCTTCCATATGAATTATTTTTCTGCTCCTTGCTGCAAACTATTTAGATATGAAAGGAGGAATACCTTACATGTAAAAGGGGAGAGTTGGACCAATTTATCTCTTTTTTTTTTTTGAGCCAATCAGGATTAAATGACTTGGCCAGGGTCATACAGCTAGTCAGCAATAGACACTGGATTTGAACTCAAGTCCTCCTGACTCTAGGGCCAATGCTCTATCCACTGTGCCACCTAACTGCCCTGGACCAGCTTATCTTTAAAATCCCCTCCAATTTTAAATCTTAGATCCTAGCTCAGTGCTCAGATCATTTATTCTTCACCCCATCTCCCATTATTTTAAAAATGAGAAACTAAACTAAGTGAAAAAAAAATCCACCATTATTCATCTGTCAAGGTACTATTGGCCACCAACTAGACATGCTCGTCAGTGTTTGAACCATCAAGGTGAAGGCGTTGTACTGATTCATCCACCTTTTTTTCATCTCCTTTCCTTTTTGACTATATGTAAGGTAACTCATTAGAATTTAGAAGGTTGTCTGTAGTCATGGAATCAGGTGAAACTAAATGGTCCGAACAGGCTTTGTCTTCCTTCTCACCATCTTCTAACCAACAAAGTCAAAAACCTATGACCTTTTAATGATGATAAAGCACTTTTTGCGTCTGGCTCAGGACAACTGTTTCAAGTTGCTCTAGTCACTGTTGAGTCTTACTTACATGCCCAACAGGTTAGCTGATCCCTGACCTTTCATTTTCTACCTGTTGCCTCAACTTTGTTGTTGCTGTTCAGTCGTTTCAGTCATTTCTGACTCTTTGTGACCCCATTTCGGATTCTCTCAGCAAAGGTACTGGAGTGTTTGCCATTTCTTTCTCCAGCTCATTTTACTGATGAGGAAACTGAAACAAACAAGGTTAAATGACTTGCCCAGGGTCACACAGCTGTTAAGTGCATGAGGCCAAATTTGAACTTGGATCTTCCAGATCCAACACTCTATCCACTGTACCACCTAGCTGCCCTCAACTAAAGACTTTATAAAATACAGAGAGGACTCTTTTAGGATCATATTTAGAAGCTGGAAGATGCCTAGAGGCCATCCAATCCAACCTCTTCATTTTATAGTGGAAGAAATTAAATTCAAGGTCACAAAGCTAGTGGGTAAAAGAAGTGAAATATGAAAGCAGGTTCTCTAACTCCAAATTCTTTCCACTGTACTGCCCAGCCTCTCACCATTCTGTGGCTCTGTGAGGTGTAAGTCTCTCTTCTTTTTATTCCCAAATCCCATATTCATTTCCTAATCAAAGTTGCTCTAAGAATGTTTTTTTTCCCCAGAAGCAGATTAAGTCATGTTACTTTCTCTTTCTACTCCTAAAATTAACACCCACTCACCTAAACCTTTCCAAAGGTCAAGTCTATTTCTCTAAGGAAAACTAAACAAAAACACACCAACTTGCTGCCACGGGGCCAACGCCCAACGATTTCTCCCAGCTGAAGCCACATTTTCTCACTAGGTCTGCTTTTGCCAAAGATTTCTTTAGTATCTGAATCAATCAATACTGACACAAAAGCCTGAAGCACTTATACACTGAAAAACTCTTTGTAGAGGGCTTAATGATATGTTGGCAATTCAATTACTCGACATT